ACCTCCGAGCCCGGGCCAGGACGTGGCCGGCGCTGGCGACGCGGAGCAGGTTCCTCTCGCGATGTCACCACATACAGTCAAAAACCAGAAGCAGAAACATTCCGGGAGGAATCTCTCCAGAATAAGTGACGCTCCCCATAACCTCGTCCGTGCCAGCCCGGCTCTGATGTCACCATCTGCGGTGACAAAATGAGCGTGGGCCGGGAGCGACGCGGGGACAGGAACTCGGCCGGGTGTGAGGCCAGCAACAACCCCCTGCTCATCCCTCCTCTCCAAGGGCCTCGCGGAGCAGCCCAGAATCCAACACGAGCGGCCAACACTTGCTGTGCTGTTACATCTGTGAAATAAAGAGCAGTTATTAGTATTAATTAATAATGCTGTCAATATTTTGCATTTGGGAGCTGCATTTAACGTGCGTTCCGTAAGGATTTGTCGAGGGAGCGATGGTGGCGTTTCCTCGCTGTCGATTGCCACGAGTGAATCAAAGAAGTCGCTTTTCCCGCAGAGCTGTGCTCACATAATGGCATCTTTGTGATGGGCTGCAATTCACTGCTGCAAACCCTCCGTGCTGGCAGGAAACCTCCCTCGATCCGGGGCTCCTCGTGCCGCTGCGGAGCGGGTCTCCCCCTGGGAACGCGGCGGAGCCGGGCGCTCCGCTCTGGGTTCCGTCCGTGTGGGTTATTTATTGGTGGCAACTGCTGCTGGTGGAAGGAAGGGGTAGGTAAAGCACCTCGGCCGCTTCTCGACTGCGTTTCCCTGCTCTGCACGTCTGTCGCTCCGGGTATTTTTTGCTAGCAGGACTCACGGTCCGGCCGCAGGTACTTGGGACACCGCGTTGCTCTCGCTCACGGAATCCGGCCTCGTGCCTGGTTCGGAAATGGGAAGTGGTTACAGCACAGATCCTGGGCTGGAGGGTGCTCCTCAGTGTAACCTCCAGAGATACTAGGAAAAAAAACCGGTTTTTAAAAGCAATTGCAAGCAGACACCTTTTTCTTTCTTTCTTTTTAATTTTTTCGCCATGAAAGGTTTCACCTCTGCCATCTACTGGTATAACACAAAGATCCTTAAATTTACACCGCGTCTTCCCCTCCTGAAACGGTCAAAGCCTGTCTGTAACCGAGTACTAAAACGTGTTGTGGAATCTCAAACGCTGCAGCTGCCCCGCAAATCAGCACAGAGCTGCTGCCTGCTCCGTGCTCGTGAACCCAACTGAAGGCAGCTGGGATAAATTGGTGCCACTTCAGCTGCTTCTAGTAGTTGAAGCTGTTGAGTGTCGGTATTTACAGCTAAAATGTGGTCCTGAGAAACTACAAATATGTTTGGAAAAGGAAGCGGAGGTGAAGGGCCTTGAATAAGATGAAGAAAATAGCCATTTTGGGAAAAGCAGGGTGCTGTTAGCAATGCAAAGTAAGTACTTTTTTGGGGGTGTATTATATATTTTTGTTTGCAATGCAATGTATCAGAAAATCAAACTCCTTTTAGATAGGAAACATTTATATACTTTAATAAAGCAGTGATGTTAGCTTATGTCAATTTAACATGTCTTCAACTTAGCTAAGTTACATAAAGGCAAATACATTTTAACAGTTTGGTTATTACACAGGGTGGTGAGATGGATTGGAAGTTTCTTCTGCTTTCTGCTTAAGTGGTATATGTAATAAGAGGGGGAGGAAATGGCAATGGATTTGTCTTGCTTAATCAAAACAGTTAAATTGTTTTCAGGAATTGTATCTGCCAAAACTGAAAGTATAAAGCATTTCTATTGCAGTGCTCTAGAGCTAAGAATGTAAGAGTTGAAGAGAGATACCACTGGTAAATCGGAAAAAATGGTTGTGTTTCTCTATATCTGCTTTTTCCTCTCCTTGTTTTCTCTTGGGAATACCAAGCTAGAAGATCAAAATGTTTTCAGTTTGAACTAAGATAACATTCTTTAATTTGTGTGTGCATCAAAT